TTAAGCCCTTCCGTAAGTCCACACAACTCTTTGTAGCAATGGTGGAAAGGATGAGAGGGCTACCTGTGTCAACCCAAGGAATCTCATCCTGGATAACCGCTGGTATACGAGCTTGCTACAAGCAGGTGAATGTTCTGCCTCTGGCCATCTTTACTACGCATTCCACAAGAACCTAGACTTCATCAGCAGCATTCCTTGTGCAGGTAGCAATACGGGACATCTGCAGAGCCACAACCTAGTCGTCAGTTCATACTTTTGCGTCCCACTACGCCATCACCCAACAGGCCTGTGACAATGCCAGTTTCAGGAGAGCAGTGTTGCAGGCAGCACATCAATGAACTCCGAGCCCACCTCCTGGGATACTGCTTGTGAATCACCTTGCATGGAATGGACATGAGCAAGCACTCAAAGACGAAGAAACAGTTACTAACCTTTTATAACATTTGTTCTTAGAGATGTGTGGCTCATGTCCATTTCATGACCCATCCTCCTGTTGGAGCTACCGGCAAGAAGGAACTGAGAAGGTGTGGGGCCAGCAGCACCCCTTATACCAGTGAATATGCGCACGACTTCACAGGGCACTAGAGCCAGCCCAGTGGATACCACTAAGGGAAAATTCCTGGGCAACAGTGAATGCAGGAACACACACCTATCATGGAATGGATATGAGCAACACATCTCAAAGAACAACAGTTACAAAAGGTCAGTAACAGTTCTCCCCCCGCCCCCAAGACTGTCTCATATTCCACAACCCTTCAAGACAACTACAACTCTACACGGACAAAGTGGCCAGAAAGGCTCCTTCTTAGATTACTGGGCATTGAGGTTAGAGTAGTCTTGGTGACAGGACCCCAGCTATGGACATTAAACAATATGAGGTCACAGGGTGGAGACCTACATATGAGAGCCCTTAGGGCAGATGATCAGTTGCTTGATACTACTCCTTCTGATAGTTCTCAAGATGCCTTCTCACAGTTGCTAGGGCCCTTTGCAACCTTCCACGCCCCCTCCTACATAATGAAATGGACATAACTGTCACTTTCCCCCCCCGTTTTGGGTCACCTGTAAGTTCTGCTGACATTTTAAAAACAAGCATTGGAATGTATTTTCTTAATAAATTGAAGAATTAAAGTTACAGTTACAATTAAAGAACAATTCTGTGCCTGCGGCAAAAACTGAGAATGAAATTCGCTATAGAAAAATTGATTTGCGTCTAAGTCTGGATATCAACTTTAAGGTTACTTGACAGCTGAAAACTTCTCCCTACAATATTTAATAGTTAATTTAAGGTGGCCAGTGGAATTGTATGTGTGAAATTAAAGGAGGTTTTATTTACACATACAAATATTACTTTGGTTACAGTAATTCAATTTTTTTGTCCCACAGGCACTTTCATAAAAAAATAGTGTTTCAATATTTAACATACTTCGAGTTGCAGGAAAAATGCCTATACTAAAAACAATTTCTGAAGTTTTGTCACATTTGACATGAGAGCAATTAAAACAGTTAATAGGAAAGCAATCTTCTCGTAATCAATGAATATTTGTGTGGTCCCTATTGCTCCTTCCCATGGAAGAGCCTTTGGGGAGAGGAAAAGGTTTCCCTTGCAAAGTTTTCCTCAAATTGTTCTATTATGGAGACAGGTCTCTTTGCTCATCCATGGAACAAACAAGGTGGTCTTTCCTAGTTTTCCTGCTGATTCACTACCGCCTCAAATAATAGAACTCTGTGCCTCTATGCTCTGGGATCCCTAGCATTCACTTCTGATTCAGAAAGCATGGCTCCATTGGAGCTGTGCTTCCCAGGCTTCCTCCACCTGCAGTTGCTCCTGGAAAAGCCGATGACGTGGGATTTCACAGTGCCAAATCGGAGCTACAGAAAAGCAAATGTAGTTTGGAGGTTGTGTTCATGGTTTTGCAGATTTCCTTCAGTGGTTATGTGTGTGTGTAGTGGTCCAAAGAGTTACATTTCCACTAGCTTGTCCCATTCCCACAGATAGAAAGGAAGAGATTAATGTGCAGAGGGATCTAAGGGAAAACAGGTTCCCCCGCCCCAGCATTTGCCCGATGGCCCCAATCCTGCAAGTACACACACAGAGTTAGCTTTATTGTTTGCAGGATCAGGCCAGTATTCTGATAAACAAATATCAAATTGCAGTATAAAAGGGTAGTAACAAATTATTTAAAACAGTTTTGTCTGGGTAATAGTGGTAAGCTATAATCCAGTGTTAGCAGCTGTCAAAAATCATTCCTGTATTTTATTTTATGATGCAGGTGCCACATACTAAGTCAAAATGTCATTCAGTGACTGAGCACAAAGCTCATTTTTGTGATGCTGGTGAGTTTTGATTTTCTGTGAAGGGAGTTGTTTCTCTGGAATAGACAGGAGTGATGTGTATACTTCACATGTAGTCAAGCATCACTAATTCTAACCCAGTTATTTCTCTTTTGAATACTGTCAGTGGATTTAAGAGTTTATCTTCTTAAGGGGTTTAAGATCTTTTCATGTTTGCAGTCTATTCAATTTTTTGTTTTCTTTTAAATCTGTGAGTGAACTTAGTGTTTACAAAAGTGATGGATTCATAACAGTGAACTGAGCCAAGCATATAGTATGAAGGCAATGCATAATCTTCCCCATGCATCTCTGTACTTCAAACCTGATCTCCTGCTATTTCAAGGGCTCTTTTCAGTTCAAGCAGTTCAAAATGCCAATCAGGAGTCTCAAATATTTTCCAACCAACACTGACCATTTAGAGCAGTGGTTCTCAAACTTTTTTTTAGTGGTGACCCCTTTTACATAGCAAGCCTCTGAGTGCGACCCCCCCCCATAAATTAAAAAAAAACGTTTTTATATATTTGACACCATTATGAATGCTTGAGGCAAAGCGGGGTTTGGGGTGGAGGCTGACAGCTTGCGAGCCCCCATATAATAGCCTCATGACCCCTTGAGGGGTCCTGACCCCCAGTTTGAGAACCTCTGATTTAGAGGGCTGTACTGGCTGATTTTAACTCCCCAAGGTAGCAGAAGTTATGTACCCTTTATGCAACTGGACAGCCCTCTCGGGGGGGACTGGGCCCCAGATCCGTACTAGCAGAAGCTGGCCCAGATCCTGCGTGAATCAAGCCCAATCACTACAAATATAGAATTAGTAGAGTGCGAGGGAGTTGTTTTTCTGCATCTCCTGCTTTTCTCATATGTTAATTTATTTCAGTAGTTTTGCATAAATATTAAGTCTGAAATATTATAGGAGGCCTTTACATTACATACGACTACAAACTCAGTTCACTGACATTTAGACTCCCCTCAGATGAAATAGGAGCATGAAAGCAAGTAATCCTTTTGAAGTCAATGAACTGAGTGCACAGGATTTTTTTATTCACAGAGCAATAAAGAACTACTGCCATAGTTAGTTATTTTCACTGAATTCTGGGGCATGGTTGGTGACACAATAGTTAAAAATGTGTCAACATTTTCATTAGAAATCTGTATTTTTCAGAGGGTGTAAAAACTGAGGTAAAAACTTCCTCTATATAGGTCTCAGCCTAAAACGATTTTATAAAAAGTGATTTTAGTAGAGCAGTGCCAATTTACATGAGCTGATGATCTTGCCCAGTATCTTTTTAAAAATAGGTTCCTCTTTGCATGGCCTGTGCACATTTCCACTCTTGTGCTCACTCTGAGGATGTGAAAGGTTGGAAGGAACCTAAGAGTGTGAATGTGCAGAGGTCATCTCATAGAACTCTGGTTACAGGTGAGTAACCATCTACTGAATAAAATAAATTTTCCTACCATTTTTATTGTGTGTACTATATATGAATATTATGATAGCAGTATAGTCTATTTAGTGTGACTAGCTCTGAAGAGGTATTCTGAAGGAAGGGTAGTGATTCCATAGTCAAGGTTCTAACTGTTTTTTTCCAATTATATCAGACTGATTTTGCCCTCAGCCTCCATCAAAAAATATCCTTTGTACCTGGAATCCCATATATCTGATCTCTAGCGAGAGGAGAATTTGGGGAGGGTGTAAGGAGGTGAATTTTGAGGTTAATTAGTCATGACACTTCTGAGAAACAGCATTTTGAAAAATAAGATACATTTCACTTATTGATTTGTTTGTAGAAATCTTTTTAAAAGGTGGTGTAGAAACTTGACATATATTATTGTCAATAGTTGTGGATGAAACTTATTAATTCTTATTTCTCAAGACTCAGAAAAGGCATAAGGGTTGACACAAAGAGATACAATCACTGTCTAGAAAACTGTCCAATCCTGATTTAACATGACACTGCACAAGTGCAGGTCAGAAACAGACCAGTGTGGGGGAAGAGGGAAGGGAAGGATAGGGTGACAATAATGAGGCACGTATGCGGTTTGATAGTTTGGTTCTTTCCCCGTTTAATTACTATTGATTGGTTACCTTTCTTTTTTGCTTTTAGTAGTCTTGATAGAAATAAGTCTGTAGGAGAGATTTGAATGTGGCACGGAAAGTGGCTTGGTGAATAAGTTTCAATAGGGCATTAAAAGCATAGCAAATAAGATGGATGATAGCATGGAAATGCTTGTGGAGCATGCAACAAAGGGAAATAATATTTAAGATACCTCCCATAGAAGAAAGTAATGAGAAATGACTAATATTTGCGATGTGCTTTGACAGCCTCAGTGTAAGGTAATACAAGGAAAGAATATATTCAAACAAGTCCCTTTTGGGTAATTCTGTCTCTTTGTAGAACATTTCCCATTTTATCAGCATCTTAGGTCTACCACTCCTCTCTCCAAAAACTGCAACTGTAGGCTTTGAGAGACATGCTCCCTTTTAGAAATGCCAGCAAGACATTTTCAAGTTAGGTATATGATACACTTGTATAATAAGAGCCATTCATACAAAAAAAAATGGTGTCATGATGGCAAAACAGCACTTTAAAACAATATTGTGCTCTTTTTCCTTTTCTTACATATATCAGAATACAAAACCTACATTCATCTACCTATTATGTTTGCAGGCCAAATGCTTGGAAAGTGAGAAGCATGGAGTTCTGAACAAAATAATAGAAGGGAATGTACGCTTAGGAAGATTAGAAGAGAAGGTTCGGGTAAGTAGGCTTTATAAATCACATATTAATTACCATTCCATATCTATTACAAGTTGCTTTTGTTTTTAAAAAAATCAGTACTTAATCCATATGGCAGTATATTTTTGTAAGAACATTTTATGGATATTTTTTAGAATGGATTTTAGAAGATAAATGGGATTTTTAGCATATTTTACACAATAAAAATAATAAAAAGTCCTTTTCTGTTGTATACATACACTGCTTTCTATATACGAACATAGTGTTCTAATGATTTATATGAGCTATTGCAGGTTGTAGAATGGTAGAAGCATAGAAATTTTATTTATATTTTTTATTTTATAGGATATATCCCAACCTTTTTCTTTGTACCTTTTAAAAAGTCTGTAATAATGGGGAAAATTGAAAAATATTCTCAATATAGAGTTTATTAAAATTAGAATTACAAGTATTGAGATGCATATACAACTACTGTCAAGGTGCATTCAGATGACTATAGGGTTGTACCTCAATTTCAAGGAATTTGGACATATCCAAAGATTTAACCCAATTCCAAAATATAGTTACACTCTTATCTACTACACTGCTCCATTTGTAGAGTAATTAAGTCAGAAATCTAAGTAACTGGGTGCTCCATCTTGGTTGTATTTGTAGTGAAGTATTTGTATGTTGTCTAAAGTATACAAATAATCAGCTATAAAAGTATACAGTCACTCTCTTTACCATGTATATCTTATTAGTTTTTGCATTTCATTGCAACTTAATGGCAAACTTGAGTGAATTATATTTTAATTCTTTAGTACATTCACAGTTTTAACCTGTCTGATGCTACAGAAATTCTGTTTAAATATTTATACAACCTAATGTTTTTTCTATAGCACATACAGTTTCTTAACAAGTTTCTTCTTATATGTACAGTGAGATGTGATAGGATGGGATCAAGAATCTGCATTGTCAAATTAGTTTTTTTGGCAAATGAATCAGTGGTAAAAACCAGAACCCAAAGACCCCATATTTATCTTAGGCACACATCCTGTTACTTATTGGGTTCTTCATTGGTAATTATTGTTTTTCTTAAACATCTGTTGAGCTTTTAAGTCTTTTCCAATCTATTTTAAAATGAAGTCCACACAACCCTTCCTGCAGTTTGACATTGTTAACAAAGAAATTAGCAATAACAGAGCAGAGTTCAGTTTAACCTGCTCCCTAACCATGGCTGCTCCTAGGGTCTCTACTTCAGGCTATTGAGCCCATGTGCTAGACCCTTACTGTGCTAGTTGCCTCTACTGTGAGGGAGTCTGGGTGTTAGCTCTCTAATGCCACCAACCTGTCAGCCCCTCAAGCACTCTGGTCCAGGCTATGCCAGCCTTGTCTTTACCTTGCAGGTTAACAATAGGTGCAGCCCAGTCCCTGAGTCCCCTTGAAGCATTCCACTGTGACATCCAGCCCCTGACACTGGCTACTCACAGAACTCCCAGATCCTCTGCTCCCAAATGGACAGTGTATCCTTATTTAGTAGTGGCTCTCACACTTTCCAGACTACTGTACCCCTTTCAGGTATCTGATATGTCTTGCGTACCTGTGACGGGGTGCGACTCACCACACCAATGCCTCCTGCTGGTCATCTTGCAGATCAGCTCCACAGATCGGTATGCCGACTCTCGGTGGTGTCTCGCCCACCATCATTTCTAGTCCTGGACCCATGTTGCTCCAAGGACCGCGGCGTCCTCTTCAGGACACAGCCCTCTGACTGTGCCACACTTTGTGCTTCCCCTTTCCGGGGGAATGTACTGCAGTCCGACGGTACAGCACTTCCTCAGTGGCAAGCGGGAGTGAGGGGGAACCTGGGCCTGGCCACTACTCCAGGTTCCAGCCCAGGGACCCTGTAAATGGCAGCCATGCACTGCGTTGCCTCCAACCTCTCAGTCTACTTCACTGGGCCATTTCCCCGCAGCCCCAGCACCTTCTCCACCCTTATCTCAGGGCCTCAGCATGCCATCTTAGCAGTCAGCCAGGAGCTCGCTCTCACTCCCCTGATCCTGCCCAGCACTGCTGTCTCCAAGGTGCTAGCTTTCCTCCTCCTGCAAGGCAGTCAGTTCTCCCTCCTCTAGCGCCAGGGAGCAACTGAACTTGCTCTGCCCTGCAGCTCTTCTTATATGGGCCTGCCTGGCCATGATTGGCTGCTCCTCACAGCCCCTTTCCTATTGGCTGCTTTTTGCGCAGCCACCGTAGGGCTCTATTAACCCCCGACAGGCCAGTATGGGGCAGGTGCCCCATTACAGTACCCGCAAGTTACATCTCACTTAAAAACTACTTGCTTACAAAATCAGACACAAAAATACAAAAAAGTGTCACAGCACACTATTACTGAAAAATTGATTATTCTCATTTTTACTATCTAATTATAAAATACATCAACTGGAATATAAATAATGTACTTACATTTCTGCGTATAGTATATACAGCAGTCTAAACAAGTCATTGTCTTGTCATGACATTTTAGTTTGTACTGACTTCGCTAGTGCTTTTTATGTAGCATGGTTGTAAAACTTAGCAAATATCTAGATGAGTTGATGTACCCCCTGGACCTTTGCGTAACTCCAGGGGTATACATATCGCTGATTGAGAACCACTGCCTTAAATCACCACTTCTGGATAATTCACAGCACTTGAGAGCATTTATAATAAAACAAAAGAAGGTTTATTTAAGAGAGACTAGAGATTCCACTGAAAACAAGGGAGAGTGATGGAAACAAATAGTTACAGTTTTGCAAAGGCACCTCCTTTGTCTTGCTGGGGATGGCATTCCTCCCTCTGGCAGTGGGGGAGCTTGGAGTAAATTAGACCCACTCTGGAGAGTTTTTATTCCTAACTTGGGTTTTTATTCTTCCATATTTACAAGGTGGGCCTCAGGGTAGGCCCAAGGAGTAGTTTTCAGCCAAACAAAAAGAAAAGTTCATAACACAAAAAAGAGAATACCTTTCCCTCCCCCCTTTCTGGGGTGTTGCCTTGTTATGAGGGCACTGTGTGCCAGTCCTTCTCCAAACAGTCCATTAGGGTGGTTGCTTTCCATATATGGAGGAGAGCAGCCTTCCACTCAGGAGAAGCCTTTTGTCCTGATGCACCTTGTCTCCCATCTCTCCTCCCTCTCTCGCACCAGAAAAGGGGTTTTTAACGGTCACAGGCAGCCCTTATTTGGACTTAGGTGTCCCTAGTTTACCTGAGGTAACATTTCAGCTCATGGGGAAAAGGAACTTTACCATTCTAGGGATGGTATACCTGCCTTCCACAACTCTCTTACAGCTGTCTGGTTTGACTTTGTCACACAATGCAAAACAAAATCATAACACACACACTAGGCCTGACACTTAGTAGTAGTTACCTTTCCTATCTAATAAAGTAGGTTCTTGCCTGGCCCCAAAAGTTCAGTGTGTTGCAGAGCTGGCTGGATCCAATCTGTCATGAAATACCGCGTCTCCTCAGTGAATGGATGCAGAGTGTCTTTCTCCACCCTGAATCATACTTTGTTCATAGACCATGAATGGGCCATCACCAAGACAAATGATTGCTTGGTGACTAACTTTTACTCTGACCATAAGGCATAATTTTCAATATAGTTACATTATTCCTTAAATATTACCTGCATACACATCTCACAGTGATTATGACTTGATAAGTTACAAGCTTTCAGTAGAGACCTCATATACTACCCTTTATTAGGTGTAGTAAGTTTGTCAGGTCTGAGTCAGGAGTTCCTTGTAAAGAACCATGAACGCTTTGTCAGCTGGTACCAGTGGGCCTCTGTGTCACAGTGTGTCTTTTGAGATCAACCTAGGGCCGGCCTTAGGGGTGGGCGGGATTGGCCAGTGCATGCAGGGAGTGCCTCCGGAGCAGAGGTGCCCCTCCTCCCCTGCAGCCCCTCCCTTCACCTTGGAACTGCCCCGGCCAAGCAGCTCGGGACCAGGAGCCTCCTGTCTGCTGTGCAGAGCGGGGTAGGGTCGGGCTAATGTCAGGGTGTCCCCCCATTCGTGTACCCAGTTTTCACTGAGCTGGCATGGGAGACAGGGAGCCTGTCTGTGCTGCTGCCTCTACCATTCTTCTAGTGAAAATATAAATAAATACGTAAGTGCTGTCAAATCTGAAAGCAAGTTCATCCATATTTTTCTTTTATTATTTCAATCCATGCTGAACTTTACTGTTTAATAGTCTTTTCAGTCACAGTAGTCAATAACAGTTATACTATGCAATCTCATCTAAGTCACATTGACCGTCATGACTATTACACATGTACAAGTAATGGCAGAATATTGGGCCCATTATATATCAAAGAAAATTTATGGAATTATACTGTATTCAGAATCTATCCCTGCCCCACCTCGATGTGCAGTGCTCTGCAGGGTCTGAGGCAAGGGCAATGGTTCCTCAAAGGAAGATCACTTCCTCTTCAGAGCAGAAGGAACGAGATCCAGTCAAGATAGAGAACAGTCCTCCCTCTCGTAAATGTATGGCCATAAGGACAAATCTTTCCCAATCTTCCCCAGGTCCAGAGATCTCCCTTGTGTCAAAACCATTTCACTGTATGGAGGAGAAAGAAGATTTAGGGAGGCTGTCCTGGGCCCAGGGGTACATATTCCCTGGGTAGCACATATGTTAGCTTTCTTCTTCTTCAAGTAGTGTCCTATGGGTGCTCCACTTTAGATGCGCTAATAACCCCTGTGCCTTTGATTGGAGATTTCTCATAGCAGCGTCCATTCAGCCCACATGTTCATGTTAGTCTCGCGCCCCGTGACGTTGTATAGTGCTGCATGGGTGAACCACCCTCAGCTCCTTCTCAACTGCCTCAGCCTGAGACAGAGCTCTGGCAGTTGTCCTGTTGAGATTTCCTCAACTTTATCCTCTTTTCTTATTAATAGTTAGTCATAGTATTAGTTAATAAGTACACCTCTACCCCGATATAACACGACCCGCTATAACATGAATTCGGATATAACGTGGGAAAGCAGTGCTCTGGAGGGGCGGGGCTGTGCACTCCGGCGGATCAAAGCAAGTTCGATATAATGCGGTTTCACCTATGACGCGGTAAGATTTTTTGGCTCCCAAGGACAGCGTTATATCGGGATAGAGGCGTAGGAATAGTATAGCTTCTTAATTTTTTTTCTTTCACTCATATTGTATTTAGCTAGATACTAGTTAGTTTTTAGTTCTTCTTTACTGCGAGGTTTTGCTTCAGATGTTGTCTGTCATGCTGGGAGGTGATCCCAGTCAGCGATGGGTCTGTCATGCCTCCTTCTCCATTCTTGACAGATATTTTAAGCATGTCTAGAATTTAGTCAAGAGAGTTGCGGACTCCTTGAGCCTCATCATAAGCTGCTCAATATCCTCCATTCACCCTCATCTGCCCGCATAGCTTTGCCTATTAACTAAGCCAGGAAGATCATCTGGCACGTTCCATCTTCTATTCTCCATACATGCAAGAGAGCAGATAAAAAGTATTATGTCCTAGCAAAGGACTCAGAATTTTTATTCTTCTTTTGAGTGATTGCACATGTGCATTCCACTCTAAGTGCGCGCATCCCGAGCATGATCGCTGGAAATTTTCCCCTCAGTGGTACCTGTTGGGGCGGCTTAAGCACCCTCTGCTGCCATTGCCATTAGCACCGGTATAGAGCGCCCAGCCAACCTTACGCCCCCTCAGTCTTCTATGAAGAATTATTTTAATAAAAGGGAGAGTCACCTTGAAATCTAATCATTTTCAAAAAGAGAATTAAAAGAAGTTGGTTACCATGCTTTCATCTGGATCCTCTTAAGTTTCTACAGATTTACCGCCACATTTTCCTATGTTTTCTCAGCACAGATGTTCTAAATAAAGACCCACACATTCAGCAGGGAAGCTGATTGGCTGTACAGGAATTCTGATTATACATTGAACAAATACAGATTCATTTTATTTTGAACTCTTTCAGGTTTATCATTTACCAATGCTAGGTTAAAAAATTAAGTAGTGCAGTTTTTAGGGAAGGTAATCACAATCAAAGCATCACTGTAGCAATCTTACACAACTCTACAGTTTTACCAATACAGTTATAAAATGCTTGACCCATGCTTTTTCTCCCATTCATATGTATCTGAGCTTAGTAAATGCATCCCTTAAAAAGATGCCAGTTTGTAATCTTCTTAAATGTCAGAAAATCTGTATTTATTTAACTGCACTTTTGTCATGTTATTTGACACTACTATATGAACTGGAGAAAACATTTTCAGAAAAATTAGCCAATAATTTAGGTGCAATACACACTACCAACTTTCAGTGACAAAGTCTCTTATTTTCAGAAGATTGTCAAATCCAGAGCACAAGATAAACTTTAAGTACATTAGGACCCTAAATTATTAATGCAAATTTGAAAAAGCTGACTGGGGACTACAGCAATAAAGAAAGGAAAAGCATAAATAGGAACTAATAAAAAGTAAAAAAAAAAAAAAATACCAAAACAAGTCTTTAACAAAGCTTTCTTAAACAAAAAAAACTTGCAAACAAAAATAAAAATGTTAATTAAGCATATGACGTAACCACTCAGAAGTAAGTTTATGGCAGCATATTCAGCAATCATGATTATGGTGTTATCTGAACTATGTTCTTTAGGTCTTTCTTACAAGCACTTGTAATTTGTTTACACCCTAATCATATATCAGCTAATCCGACCTATTAGAGATTTTGACAGATAATTTAACCACAATATCCTATATACAGAAAAGCAAGTCATTTAGTGTTCTCTAGAGAGTCTGATTCTTGTATTGATTTAAAACTGGAAAAAAATTAAAATAAAGCTTAATTTTTGATCTAAGCACAAGTATTATCAAAATTGTTAAATATTTTTATAGTTGCGGTACCTTTTTAATCCTAACTAGTAGCACAGTTTCTCACATACACCCATATTGTATTCTCTGCTTTTGCAAGTAGAGGTGACAAAGATTCAAAAGATCCCAGTATAAGGCGTATGGAAGGAGAAAAGGATGTTTCTTCTTTGAAGTTTGCTTGTGTGGATTTTCCACTGTAGGTTATAAACATGCTTTGAGTGTACAACCTTGGAATTTTTGAATAGCAGTGTCTGTTGGGACTACACAGACCCTACTTTATGTGGGATGGGAAAATGCTTAGGAGCTGGTCAGTGCTGTCCTTAGATCATTCATGGGATCACTGCAAAGCAAGGTGAGGTACTATATATTCCTTCTTTCCCAAGAACTGAGCCTCTTATGGTCACAAAACTATCAGCCCCTGCTGGATTAGATAGCAAGAGACCAGAACCTGAATAATCAAATCAAACAACCTGTGAGAAGGAGGTTTTTCAAGGCAGAGATTGTCTCCTACTATGCATTTATACAGTGTGTAGCACAATGTGGGATCCAGGCCTGTATTGGGCTTTTAATACTACTAACAGTAGTAATTAACAATACACTTATTTTATAGAAAGGCTAGAGTAATCTTTTACAAAGGCTCTTGCTGACTGTATTGCAACATTGGAAAAGAGCATCTTTCATTGCCTTTGGCCATGGTGATTTATTGCACTGGGGAGAGGGACACTCTAAGAAATAGAAGTTGGATTGTATAAATGAGACATCTAATCCTAAAATGAGGATGAGAGCTCAGAGTCTTGGGTGACTGCCAACAGGGAATGAGAGATGGTTAGAAAATGAAAGAGTACATAGTACTGAATGTATCCGTAATAGCGACCATATATTTCTACTTTTTAAAAACAATTTGATAAATGAGTGAAGTTCATGTTTTGGCAAACCCTACACCCTTTAGTTTTGCAGATTTGTGACAACCAGAAAGCAGTGTAGTGGGGGCAGTTCACCTGCATATTGGAGAAGGGAAGAGTATTGGGAGACTTCATAGAGCTCCTCCCACAGCACCAAAAAGGTTATTTGGGGGAAAAGGGAAAGGAGGGAGCGGGCTGAGGTTGAACAGTCATTCAGTGGCTCTGTACAGTATGTATCTCCATCACTGAGGGTGTACACAAGCCTGGCAGGGAGAATGCCATCCCTCTGTGAAGCCTGTTTAGTTAGCCTTTGTGCGTGAGTGGATTTGGCTTAGTGGCACACAGTTCCACCTTTTTGTATGCACTTCTGGAGAAAAAAATAATAATTTCTTACATTTCCTTTTGAGTTGCATACAGTACAAGTTAAATTATCTTTGATTTTGAGGCCTCAATGAAAAATAAATCAGGAGCTGATATTTAATCTGTGGACATATTAAACAACATTTGGGATAGCTATAAATTGCTTTAAAATGAAATAGTGCGTTACCACTTAAAAAAAGCATCAAAACTTTGTTTTTTATATATAATGTTTATTACATTGATTTGTAAGAACACCTATTTTAAAGCTATGCATGTTTATTCTTAATTTGCTACCAAAATTCCATTATTCTTCAGAAGTCTTACCCATTGGTAGTTTGGGGATTTACTAGATAATTATTTTGTACAAATCTTTATATAAAAGCCCTCGTGCATACCATTTTTCAATTTAGATTCTGGTTTACACTAGAACCATACAAAATTCAACTACCTTTTTAAAAATAAAATTTAATGTAACAATATCTAGTAGGTTCAATAAAAATGTTCAGAAAAATGAATCAACCATTTTTGCATATGGAATTAACATTAATATAAAATAAAAACTTGTTTCTGTATTTTTTTTTAATTGCCTGTAATTAGTGCCTTGATTTTAAGGCACCATATATATTAGTAGGCATGTTTTTATTTAACATTTTTAAGACAGTTCTTAAAGCCATTTCTACTCTGATGTGCTCTGACATACACTAGTCAGAGCATTATATTTCAGAAATAGCCGTAGTTTCTGAAAAGATTCTGGAAACGTCTCTTTTGAAAATACTTAATTTGTTTTTATGTCCCTTTGAGATTTAGTTTAACTATAAATTGCTTTCTCTAAGATTTCAACAGTACATGAGTTCTAAATTAAAAAAAATTATTGCACTTTTATTTTGCTTTTAATTCTAGATCCTGTATTGGTTCTCATCATCCGAGTATTTAAGTGTCCAATAAAGTACCATACAGAATTTGAAAAAGTAATTTAAGGTGATAATTGAAATATATTTTTATAGCAAGTTGTACTCAAAATATTTCTGATCTTCATTCTTTTTTAAAAAAATAGTACCAGCATAATGTAGAAAACATCAATTTCATTGTTATCACTTTCACCTGTGAATTCTTGACACAATGAGGTGTTTATGAAATTATACATTGTTCAAGGAAACGGTGATATTAGATACCACCTATTTAATAATAATATTGCCTTGCCAATTTTCTAGTGTTTACACAAATGGTGGTGGTGCTTTTTGTTTGTTTAAACATAGGCCTTTGTGCTAGTTATAGCTAAGAAATGGGACCACGAAAAACTTAAAATCATATTGCAATCACCTTAATAGTCAATAATATTGGAAGTCTGTAGTTATGATTCAAAGTTTAATTAAAATGTACAGTTTGATAATGCAATTCCTCTCAGCTTCTTGAAGAGCAGTCACACATTCCCTGGCAGAGGCATTGACAGAAACCATACACAAGACATACAGTTAGACTTGAGGGAACAAGACTGACACACACAATTCCTAGGGTCACTTTCTGAATCACTAATAAATAGATTCCAAGAGGTAGTGAGCCAAAGTAGAAAAATCCTAACAGCCATACCAGTATTCTGGGTACATGATTACAAAGCTTAGAGAAGAGATCTTGGTCTAGCTGACTGTGAGAACTGACAGATACTGAGTCAAGGCTATGGTCTGCATAATAATCTGAGAGAGTGTTTTGGCTTGGAGTCCTAGTAGAGTCTCTCTGTACTTCCATAATTGTTATTACTAAGCAGTTTGAAGATCCATGAGAGGGGCTTGAGGAAGCCAAGTTCTTTGGTGTTAAAACTACTTCTTTACAGTCGGAATTCCATATTGTTTTGTCTTTTAACACGAGTTTGGACATAACGTTTGTATCATTAGGTAGTCCTTCAACTTCATCTTCATGCAACTTTGTCTCATGGCGGCAAAAGGGACAACTAATGCAAGGACAGCCATCTCCTATGTGAAGTATTTTAGTCAGACATCTCGCACATACTCTGTGAAGACAGTTCAGTATTTTGGGTTTACGACTATGAATGTTAAATCTCTGGTAACAAATTTTGCACTCCAGCTCATCATTTGGCACCTTTTCTTCCCCTTCCGTGTGAGGGTAACTCATCTTTAATTTAGGCACACTGTCAAAAGAAGAAGTCAGAGAAACAATAAGTTACCGTATACCTCTAAAAATCTGTTTGACATTAATTTTCCCAAGAATAAATTCTACTGTTGGTTTTAAGAAGTAGGCAAAGGAGCTGGAAGCAAGCCTCATATTAAAATTGCCTAACATTCCACTATAACCCCCTTTGTTTTCAAATGCATATAACTTGCCAAATTTTAGCTGTGTTGGCTCAAGTTTTCTATGCTTGGTATCTGGCTCAGACTGAATGTAAGCTGCAGAAAAATTGCTATTTGCATATGGGCAATAGTACTTGCTAGAGGCTTGCTTCTTACATTTTCTGAGAATTCCATCTGCAGTGCACAGGTTTTCATGCATCACTTTAAAGCAGCCATGAAGACCAGAATATCTGGATGAGAGAAAAATAGGGATGTTCCCCCCCTTCTCACTGCCATATAAAAATACTTTTTGATCTAGGGGAAGGGAAGGTGCATTGGGCCAGGAGGCAGAATACCATGAGTTTAAGTCTCACCTCACATACCATTTCCCTTCCCCATCACTTCTCACAGGATCCCTGCCTTTTAGAATTCCATTTTTTCCTGAAAACACAAGGGCTGTTTTAAGTGTCTGAACCAAGCATCATGTGGGTATATATAAGCAAGATTCTCTATCCAGCTTTACCTGAATACATCAGTTCTGACAGGCAGCAACCCATTTTTTCTTATCTAAGATTGCCAGTTATTGAATACTGTTGATAATTTAATGTTCATCAATGGAACAAAGAGTTTTAAAAATGCCATCAAGTTAAGTTGCAAAAGTGCTTTTACATTTTCTGTAATTCAAGGTATGAGTAATATAGCCCAAAACGACTATTAAGGCACTTCCTACAATCTGACATTGACAAGTGTTTATAGTTTGCTTTGCCTTGGAGATGAATCTTGTTATCCATCATGAATACTCCGGTAACACTGTTCTATATGTCTGAAGCCAAAAAGGAGGCGTCACAGTTGCTCATTTTAGCTGTGCTATATTTTTAAAGTTACTGAACAGAGACATGATTATTTAACTATAGTGGTTTCCCTATGACACATTTATATTAGTCATGCTTTGGGATTATACAGATGTTTGTGAAGCTATAGCAATTTCTGACCAGTGTGACACTGCATTTCTCAGCAATGTGTTTTTCCTCAGCTTTTTTCCAGAAAAGTTAATTTATTTCCACTCTGATTTGTTAGTAAGTAAAATTAGTCCTTTCTCAGAACATCAGGCTCAAATTACTACACAGCAGGTTCTGTGTTAATGGAAACAGGCAAGATGATATTATAATGAAAGCTTTGCTATTGACTTAAATAGGTGCATGATGGGACCCAATCTCTGCTTGCATGAAAGTTGCATTCTTTTAAAATAGTAAAAATTAAGATATCGATCCTGCAAACACTTGCACATATAAATAACTTTATTAAGATAATGATCCTATGGAATTCATGTACATGAAGTTACATGCCCATATGTTTGCAGGATTGGAACCTAAAGTATTTGAATTCATGGATTTTTATTTTTGGGACTGTCATGATCTTGAGTCTCTTCACTCTCTGTTTATGTTTACCAATTTCTGTGTACTATCCAACCCTTTAAAAGGTATAAATCACCTTGGCAAGTGAACTACTCTAATGGGTAAAGTTCTAAGGTACCTATGACATTGGTATCTAACAGGCTTCTTCATGTTGGCAACAGCTGTAGGAGTCTTTGACCTATGAACCATGTACTGTATAACTACGAAGTGAGACTATATATTTGGTAGGGATAAAAAAAAGTAGACTTAAGTGAAACATCTATCAAGATTTAAACATCAATAATTACAAATTGTTTACAGGGGAATGTGCAGAACCCTAAATTATTCTAATGTTTCCTTCATGTGTGCAGTTTGCTTGCTGTTTAATTTTTGAATTTTCCTTGTAAGTTACATTTTAGACTCAATTTTACATCCTCAGCATCGGAACTGGTATTCTTTCTCTGTAGAAAGTGTGTCACTATTTTTAGAAGAAAAAATGTTTGGTGTTTTACTGAATTTTTAACTTTTTTTAAAAAAAGAAATCTCAATGCACTAGTTTAACTAGTTATTCAATTCTAGAAAAATAAATTTATGTCTGAAGCATAATTCATTTGCTTTTTTCCACTGACTCCACTACAACAAGTTTAATGTGTAATTTGTATGGCAATTACCATTATTATTGCATTCAACCTTCAGAAGACAAGATTATGGAAATCTGTTCTGTATGCTGTCAATTTCTTCATCATAACATGTCAGTCTAATTTTAGTATACCCTGTGATTAGAGACTGAGGACAGTTAAAACCGGTCAGTCAAGGCTTCCCAGAAAAGAATCCAGGCTCCTAAAATCCCTCAGATCGCTATTTTTGGCCTGAATGTTTTAATTTTCCTTTCCTCTTGAGCAGTGGTCACCAACCGGTCAATCGCGATCAATTGGTCAATCCTGGAGACTCTCCCAGTCGATTGTGATCTCTGGCCACTAAAAGTCCAGCCATGTAGCGCAGCAGCGCTGCCACTGAGGCCCCTGCTGGAAGTGACTAGCGCAGCATGCCCCCGCAAGCGGGGGAGGCAGGGGTCTCCGCGCGCTGCTCCTGCCCGCAAGCACCACCCTGCAGCTCCCATTGGCTATGAATGGGGAACTGCGGCCAATGGGAGCTGTGGGGGCAGTGCTTGCAAAGAGGGATAGCGTGCAGAGCCATGTGCCCCGCCCCCAGCAGCCTGAGGTGCATTGGCCCCTTCCGGGAGCAGTGTGGAGCTGGGGCAGGTAGGGAGCCTGCCTTGCTTAGCCCGGCTGCGCTGCCGACTGGGAGCCGCCTGAGAAAAGTGCCGCCCGGCAGGAACCCGCCTCAACCCCCGGCCCTGAGCCCCCTCCTGGAGCCAGCACCCCATATCCCCTCCTGCACCCTGAACCCCCTCCCAGAGCCAGCACCCCATACGTCCTCCTGCACCCCAACACTCTGCCCCAGACCAAAGCCCCCTCCTGTACCCAAACTCCCTCCCAGAGCTTGCACCCATCAACCCCTCCTGCACCTCAACCCGCCACCCCAGGCTCAGCCTGGAGCCCTCTTCCACACTCCAAACCCCTTGGCCCAGCCCATTCAACAGAATGTGACTGAAATTGATCTATCTTAGGTACTACTCTGGAGAATCTATACACTACCAAGTTATTTAACTCAATTTCTCAATGCATGTGCACATAAAACACAAACTATTATAACAATGTAATTATGCATTCATCCTACTGATCAAAAATTAAATTTCATGTATTAAAGAGCAAAAGCTTTTCCCCCCAATTTGTTACAATACATATAAGAGAGAGAAATTCCAGTAATAGCATTACAAGCATCTATGCCTGTATTTACTCAGGCTTTTTCTGAGAATTGGGATGGGAGTTCTCCCTTTTCATTTAGTAGACATGGGAGTATTTGGTGTCTTGAAATATTATTTTAGATTTTTTTATGCTTTTTAAAATATGTATGTTGAGTATTTACTTTAGGCACTCTATAAACAAACATTTACAAACATTACAATTTTTTAAAATTTTCATTTAATGTTATAAATTTACAATATGATACGTCAATGGCTACCAATGACATTTAAATATGTATGACCCTTAATTCATAATAAACCATACAATTTTGTCATCCAGAGTATATTCCCTTATCCAGTGCTACACACTACAGACCTCATTTGCTATCTAAGGGAGTCTTTCAGTTCACTTCAGTGGGATTTGGATCAGGCCCATAATGCATATGTGCCAAGCAGCACTTCTAGGTGTTGCAGGAGCCCAAGCTCTGAATTTCCTGGTGTGTAGCTCTAAATCACAGCCTTACTTTCTGTTCATGTAATTTTTGCATTGATGGCACTAAGTTCTGTGGTGATAATATCCTGCTAACCTCTGCAATTTTAGATATCGTTGACAAAAATTCCAGAGGCCTTCCATGTGTATACAATACTTGTGGATTTAAACACAAAGCATGGGTCATCTCATACGCTTCTGGAACCCTCAGAGCTCATTGCCAACAAGATCCTTTAGCGGTGGGGAGCATGCCTGAACAATCTGACAGCACAAGGCCTAAGGAAGGAGAAAACCAACATGCTGGAGCTTCAAGTGGTCAGACTAGCTCTTCTCAAATTCTAAACTCAGATTATCAGATGCTACCTCATAGTACTGTTGGGCACCACCACAATCCTGGTTTGTCCAATAATGGTGGGACCAGCAGCCCAAACCTTGTCCTTGGCAGAGATTCAACTTCTTTCAGTCAGAGCCAAAGGAACCCTGAATCAAGAGGCAGATGGGCTGAGCAGAGGCTCTTTAGAAGTCCACAGATTCTTTATGACAGCCCTCTTATACATTCTAATTCAGATCATCTGCAGCTGACTCTGTGACTACAGAATAGGAAAACCTAAGCCAGACGATCTTCTCTAGAGAGACTTCTGACTTTAAGGTAGAAATCTACTGTCGAAGAATATTCAGCAACCTGGTCAAAGTTTTGCTTCTGGTGTGAAGAATGGCAGACAGAACCAGGAGACTCAGGCATACCAGTGATTATTGATTTCTTACAAGATGGAATGGCTTGGGTTGCAAACAACCCAATATAACTAGACAGGTATTGGTCATCATCAGTCTATTACATCTTGAGCAAGTTTTCCAGGTTCACTGACATATCATTCCCAGGTATCAAGTAGCAAGACCATCAAAAACAGTGAGACTCGTCTTCAAAAAATGGGTTCTGCCTTTTTCCTGACAACTCAGCCATTTAATTTATGATCATTCTTTCTCTCTTTTAATAAAAATGTGCTTCTTGTTAGCCATGGCTTCTTAAGTATCTGCACAGAAAGGATACATATGTGTAATTAAGAAGACTTATTCTTTCCTTAGGGAGATACCATCTACTACCTTAAGTTAAGGCTTAGGTTGAAGTCTTGGTGCGAGAATCAAGCCCTATTATATTTAACATACAGAACAGCATTGACAACTTCTGTGTGATGGGAAAATGCTCCTCCCACCCATTTAGAACTCAGATGTAAACCTAAAAAAAACAGTCACAAAATTATAACCACACTGAGGTTGTGGCCACCATTTTGGATTCACATCTTCTGGGAGTTTTCAGTGGCTCGCATACTATATAGCTGTGGTATATTATGATTATTTAGTTACACAATTATGTTCTTCACAATTAATATAATTATTTTATGATAAGGATGATTAATATGATCAGTTCATTTGAATCAGACAGTCTTTAAACATCTGCATTGTTCTCAGTTTAAAGTTTGTCACTGATATTGTAATATATATTTATTCTTGACATATATTAAAGTGAAGACTTCCCTATAACAATTTCAAGCTTTATCATGACCATTATACTCTGAAGGGAAAATGGAGGTTTGTCTATATCAGGGGTCGGCAACCTTTCAGAAGTGGTGTGCCGAGTCTTCATTTATTCACTCTAATTTAAGGTTTCGCGTGCCAGTAATACATTTTAACGTTTTTAGAAGGTCTCTTTCTATAAGTCTATAA